CAGCCACCACCACTACTGCATCTCCTTGAACGCACGGTGCGTGTGCATGGCCCGGCAACGCTAACACCGACACTGATGCTGCTGCTGCTGCTGCACACAGAAACAGAGCAGAAACGCTGTTATACGGGGAGGTGTGTGTGAGTGAGCTGCCGCCGCCGCTGCTCTCAGAGCCTCATCCCTCTCTTCCTCCCATGCACGTTATGAAATGAGGCCGTCGCTCGCACACATGCAGACGCAGGAGGACGCTGCTGGGTGAAACGCGATGACGAAGAATGGAGCCGGGCAGCCGTCCACCTCTGAGGCCTACTCCCAACTTTCTCCCTGCAGGAGGAATGGTCGAGCACTGGAACCTGCTGACATCATGAAGCGGCCATGACATTGTTTATGCAACAACACCCTCAAACAGAGCCCGAGAGCGGGGCATTAGATGCGTGATATTATGGCAAAACAAAATGATTGGCCCACACAGAAACTTAATACTAGCTTTATCCACAGAAACAAAGTAAAATAGAATGGATTAAAATATATATATAAAAAAATATTTATAAATATAGTTATACTCACAGCTCATCAACATAGGGTGCGTGGCCCTTAGGAGGTACACAGAGGTACTGTGCAATTGTTAATGGTTTTATTATATATGTATTCAAATATATATAGAAAAATAAGATGTGTTTATGCATGGCACCAGGCAGATATTTAAAATGTATTTCGTTATATTAATATTTTTCATAAATATGTTACAAATTATTATTATGAACACTTCAATAGTAATGCAAATATATGCAGCATGATAAAAAAAATCATAAAAAATACTATTTGTAAGATATACCATATATAGAGTAGGTTGTTCTAAACATATGCTTCATTGACGCTTATTTACCGTAGAATTTTTAGTAAGCTCATGACGTACGTTAGACAGACTCTAAATAAACACAGGAATAGAATAAGAAAAAAAAAACCCAAACAAAACAAAACAGAAACCTCTGGGCACCACTTCTACCAGTGGCTTCAATGTTTACTGTTGGATTTACAGGAATCCACCCTGCTCCAGTTTCTCTGCTCTCAGGGGCCCTGTCCACCAGAGGGCGAAGGAAACCAAACCTCAATCCCATGTTGGCGCTGCGTCAAGCAGGAAAACAACAGCTGCAAGTGACGTAAACACGTGGGTCAAAATAAAAGCTCAGCAATCTATTAAAACATTACACGTCAGTGTTTGTTGTTGTTTTTAGAAAAATACTGCATACTGGTCCTATTAGGAAAAAATACATTTTATTACGAAGCTGCGCGTTGCGTTTCTAATTTTGTGCCAAATTACTGGCGCTTTTACGCGTCACCAACGCGATTCCATTCGCTCTACTCTGATTTTATTGTGACATCAACTACCGGAAGCAATCGCGTGGGGAATGAAACGCATTTTTCCACGATTTCTCTCTCTTCGCCACCAGCAGTTCGGTCACTGCGGAGTGTGGTGTCAAATCTCGGGGCGGTCAGAGCCCAGACGCGCCTCCTCCGGTGCAGAGACCCTGGATCCCGCGCACCATCAACGCCACATAGGAGGAGTTTTTTTAAAAGCGCTGAAGCATGCAGTTTAAAGGTTAGAGAGTGGAGTGAGACAGGACCACTGCTGGACAAACTCACTGTCCTCAACCCCCTCGCGCATTGTCTGCAGGGAGTAGCCTGGAGTTCTTGTTCTGCTGCAAAGTTTCCCATGGAATCTGCGATCATGGATCCTCTGCAGAGCAACTGCGAGCAAGACTCGTCGTTCACTGAAGAGGAGGAAGAAGTGGACCCGAGAATTCAGGTGCGATTATTATTTTTTTTAAAAATGCAGAAACAGATGTGAGTTTGGAGTGGGCTTTAAAAAGGCTGGAAACGTCATCTTAGAGTGGGAATCGAACCAAAGACTGATGCAATTATATATAAAAAAAATATTATTGCAGCCAGAATTAAAATACATCAAATAATCTCAGTTAGGAATTTACATTGACTTCTAGTAAACTCTTGCAGAAACTCTACCCTCAACCCTAACCATTAACAAGCAAACGCCCAAACCCGACATTTACCCTAAATGCAATTCACTTCATGAGCCAAACACTGACCCCTGTGTGGCCCCTCGTTGTCTGCAGTCCGAACTATACCCAATAACCAGTGTGATCCCTGGTGGTAACCCAATCCTGTTAATGGAGTTAAGTCCTCTTCACATGTGGACTTACTTTCACTGGGCTGCACTTAGGTAATAAATTATACAGAAAACATACAAGAATTAGGATCAATTAGGACACTCAAAACCAGGGATCTCAAACTCCCGGCCCGTGGACCACATTTGGCCCGTTGACAGCCCATGTCCGGCCCTGGTTTTTATTTTGTGTGACCCCCCCCATTATGGAGTGGGGAACTGTCCAGGGTGTACCCCGCCCCTGACTGTCACTGCTGTGATAGGCTCCCTACCCCTCCTCCTCCTCCTTAAGAACAGGTCTTAAGTTGGTAACAAACAAACACACACACACACTAAGAAAATGCTGTGGTATTACACAATCGTTGGTCTCTGTGATTCCATGTTGTGTGTAAACAGGGAGAGCTGGAGAGGTTGAACCAGTCTACTGATGACATTAACCGCTGGGAGAGTGAGTTAGAGGTGAGTCCAAGGAACAAAAGCACCAAGCCTGTTATCATCTGTGATACCTAATGATACCTAAGCCGTATAAAAGCCTCGTACAAACACTGCTTCTGCTTCCACGGGGGGAAAGTGAAGGGAATGTGTGCCACTCCTGTTGAATCACACTGGCTATTCTCTCCTCGCCCCACGCACCCCCACTCACTGGAAAACAATCTGAAACCACATTCAGGACGAGAAAAGCTGTTAAACCAAAAAAAACGTACAAGACAAGAGTTACTGTTCACCCAAAAAGGAAAACATTCCGTCAACCTCGGCCTCGGCCTCATCTGTTTCCAATCAGACCTTTAGACTTGTCCCCGATTCCGGAGACCACAGTTTTGGTTGGATATACTGTAACAACCACGATCGGCAGCAGAACGAGAGGAAGGAGTTGTTACATGGGTTTTTTTTTTTTTTTTAGATTTTGAATTTCAACACGGAGGAGAAGGGTTTAAGGCCCTCCTGCTGCCCTTTAATCATTTGCGTGAACGACTGCCTTTTAGACTTTTAGCCGCAAGGGAGTTATGTGTCACTATGGTGACAGCCTCGGTTGGTCATATGTCGTCACATTTGCCCTCCGTGGGCATTACAGTCCAGGCTGCGTCACCTTGTCAGAGAAGGACCAGAAAATTAGGAAATGCGATGATGTCACAGGAAGCAGGTTTCCTGTTGCACCCTCTGCCTTTTCCCTCTCTGTTTTATTTCCACAGTCAGTCAGTGAACAGGATGCAGGTGTGAGTTTTACTCGACTCTGCTGCAAAACACGACATAATCCAACACATACAGACAAACATACTCTGAGTATATGTTCACAGAGTATATATTAAACACCACCGGGGGCTTTGAACGAGTACGATTTCACCACCGAGGAATGAATCTTAAGATTTGCTCAACAGGAAAGAAGGAAACTAGACACCCAGACCGACGTGAGCTACAGCTGGGTTCAGACGCACGTGCTCCTCTCGGCCAAATAAGTTTACGATGACTTGAATTAAAGGAGTCACTTTCAAGGCACCGGGCCCATTAGCCGAACAGACGAGGCCTCTCAAGTCTAAAAACGCACAAGTCTTACATTTGCAATTTGTCTCCGAAAGCATGCAATTTACTGAAATTCCAATTCTAGCCGTTTCTAAATTGAGTCGTCTGAGAAAAGCAGAAGCAAAAGAAATCACAGACTGCGCCTTCACAGATGCGAGGGACGCATTCCAACAACTTGTGTTTATGCTGTGGTTTCGGGCCCAACCCTCAACAACAAAAAACAGGGACCATGATAAAAAAAATAAATAAAAATAAAGCATGTTGTCTGTTACATAACACCGTGTAAAATCAATGGATCACAGACGTCAACCTCTGGATCTGGCTCTGAAAATGATCGGGTTCGGGATCGATATGTAACGTTCACAGACGAGTCTGTTTTTCAGTGTCCCGATTTGCGCCCTTATTTTCCAGGACTGCCGTCAGCGGTTTCGCGCCGTGCTGGTCGAAGCCACGGTGAAGCTGGACGAGCAGACGAAGAGGATCGGACGGGCCGTGGACGACTCCAAACCGTATTGGGAGGCCCGTAAAGTGGCGAGACAGGTAGGGGCGCGTAAAGACACACGGAGACAGAAGAAAACGTGGACGGGGGGTGACGGTGAGGTCGACCCCACGGTGACAGCGAAGGCATGCTTTCAGAGGATTAGCCTCTGGAAGCTTAAAGAGCTTAGCAGTGTAGCTACTTTAAAGGAGCCCAGTCACGTGGGATCTATTTTTAAACCATAAAAAACCTAATATTTTCCAACCTAACTTGTGCAACGCTACATATTCAACAGTAAAAAACAAAACAAAACGACGACACACAACCAGAAAAATGTCATAAAAAGACCCAGTGGGTCGTGTCCTTCACTGGCCCGCCTCTGCCTCTTTGGTCAGCACCAGAAATTTCAAGACCCACACACCCTTCCGTCCCAGCCAGTAGGCGGAGAGCTCATGAGTCATTTATCAGAAGACTGACATTTGTGTGTCAGAGCTTAGCGGTCGAACTGAAATAGATGGTGTATTTATGTGTCTGTGTGTTGTTACCCTGTCGGGACTCATTACCGTATCAACACGACACAAGTCGCTCCTCTCTAAGTGGGTCAGTGTAGAGCCTTAAATGGTGAAATCAGATTTTTTCTTTTTTACTTGGATTTCCTGGTCAGACCACTGAGAACACTGGGTAAACCTGTCCCTGACGGCCTGAGGGCTGTCCCAGATCAACTCAACTCTGTGTGTTATTTAACACACACTCAAAGTGGAATATGATTTGTTTCTGCCAAATATTTGAAATGACGTTTTGGTTACGCCAAATACGTCGGCCCGAAATTCAGTTTCAACTTCTGCTTTCACTCAGAATCGGTGACGATATTTACCAAAATGACTTTGCCTTCTGCTACTGTTTAGGAAGAACTTTGAGGGGACTTGTTTTCACATGAATAAGACACGTGTGTGTGTCGGTTTAAAACCAGCAAAGCGGATAAAACCCTGGGGTTAAACTAGCATATTGTCTGCTCATGGATTCTAGATGATTATTTAATACCTGACCTAGTTTTTTAAAAATATCAGCACCAACCATGACCCAGCTACAGCATATAAATAACACACACACAGCATAGAAACTGCCCTTCTACACCCCACATCCAGGAGTCGCCCTGATCACCCCACCCCCAATGTTTTGCCACACATTCCAACAAATGAGGCGGCCGGGTGGGGGGTATGTAGGAATTTGCTAGCACTTATCTAGGTTCTGTCCCTTTTTACCCAGAATTCTCTAGGACACCACAGTCTCTCTACCCCCCTCGTCCCCGTCCACTGTTTCCACTCACGTAGCGTTGTACAACACTGACTCACACAGTCTTGAGTCAAAGATATGGTTTCACTTTTAAAGCGATGACAACACCCCCTGCTGTCACTCTGGATGAACGGACGCATTAATAATAATCCTGCTTCAGCACAGGAACAGGAACTGTGATGAAGTCTGTGCCACCCTCGCGGTGGCTTTTCTCCTCATCAAATATCCATCATGCTTCACTTTCCCTGCACCCCCCCAACATTTTTCCAAAGCCTGGGAAATAGGTCAGGGATAGAGATGAAGTATGGAGAAGGGATTTGTCTCTTTCAGTTTGTCCGACTAACAAACACAAGGCCAACCATTATCTTCCCTGTCCTGTATTAGTTTTATCTCTTCTCCTCCTTAAAGGAGGCTCTGGTGTCTCTCTGTGTGTGATCTAATCACTGCAGCCTCCAGTTATCTGTCTACCTTTGAGGGAGACGGTGCAGATCTCCGCCTGCTCACGTCACCGTCCGGACATTTAGCGTTGACAGTGGCAGGAGGTCAAGAGGCTGCAGGGGTTAATGTAGCAGAGAGGAACAGAGGGAGTCGTGAGAAAAGTGTACAACAGCTGAAGAGACCGAGTGGTTCTCAAACTGTGGTACGCGTACCTCTAGTGGTACAAATTAATATTTTCACATTTGCATTTTCAATTGAATTAATCTGAAAAATACCATGCACAACTAATACAACATTTAGAAAAAAAGTGTAGCTACTTGTGAGATTATAAAATAGGACGCTAACAGGGAAGGCCTATGCTTCTCAGGTGGGACAGAGTAGAAAAAGTTGGAGAACTTGGATTCTATTCACAGATAAAAAAAGAAAGAGTTTTCATTTTTGACATGAAGGAAAACAAAAGCTGAGCGCGTCTTTATTTTAGTACCGGAAATAAATCGTCACCCCTCAGTAGTTCACTGGCCTTCTCTCCGTGCCAGTTTGAAACAACAACCAGCCTGATATGGGAATCTCGACCAGCGAGTTTGTTCCTATCATAGCCGCGGCGCGTCAAGCCAAAACACAAAGGAGGAAACGAAGCGCAGCGCTTCAGCAAAACTCCCAAATGACCCGAGGGAAGAGTCTGTTCCGAATAATTACAGCGTGCAGCAGCTGACTGTTCACTTTCACTTTAAAGTTGTGCAATCGTTTCGTCTCCTTTACGTACGTCAACTGCCAAATGAAAAAAAAAGTGACTTTTGATGCAATCTAATGCCAGCTGCTCATTCGTACACTTTTGTCAAAGATAAAGGTCTTGAATTTGCAACAACAACAACGACGACGACATGGACAGAGCTGATAAGACAAATCACTAGCTTGTATTTATCTAAAAGCTCGTGCGCGTGGGAGGGAGGGATGGTGTCCAGTTATGTCCCACGTGATGAGAATAATCCTCCCATTGACTGCGACCGTGGGCATGCACGCCCCCACCGACACTCTGTCGGATTCTCCCAGTGACAAAGATGATGTTTGTCAGACCTATCAAAGCACATTTGTCCTTCCACATGTGACGCTAACGTCTGCTCGACCGGCCATGGGAGATTTACAACCTCAGAGGAAGTCAATGTCTTCGATAGGGGTTTAATGAACCACGAAGTGTTTCGGAGATAATAATTATTTTATATTAATTATTAATAAATATAGGTATTTTTTTCTCAAGGTTATACTTAGCAGATTTGTTTCTTTATTAAATTTAAATTTATTTAAGTGTGGGGCGTGAGCTGCCACTAGGGGGTGCAGAAGAATTATGATGGCAGTTTGGAGTGGGATTTAAATTTTTTTTTTAATTATTATGAAATAATATTAGAATGTGTATAAGTCGTGTTAAAATCTATTCTCTGTATAAAATTGATTAATTTGTAACAGTCGGTACATTTGTTTTCTTCTAGCAGATCTTGGGTCGATGTTATCATAAGGGTGTGATGTTCATAGTTGGAATATTAAAATATATTTTTTTAATTATATACGATAACAAAACGTGGGGTTGTTTTCAACCACAGGCCCAGATTGAGGCCCAGAAGGCCACTCAGGAGTTCCAGCGGGCGGTGGAGATCCTGCGGGCAGCCAAGGAAACCATCGCCCTGGCTGAGGAGAGGCTGCAAGAGGAGGAGAGTCGCCAGTTCGACTCTGCCTGGCAGGAAATGCTCAACCACGCTACACAGAGGGTAGGCGTGCTTTCCAGTGTTCGGTTTTTAAACTTTCAAAACTGCACTTTTCACCGATTTGTTATGGTGACCTTGTAGGTGATGGAAGCCGAACAGGCGAGAACACGCAGCGAAGACGAACACAGAAAAACGGCGGCTCACTACAACACCTGCATCGGCCACATGAAGCAGCTGGAGAAGAAGCTCAAACGCTCCATCAACAAATCCAGGTCTGAGATTTTGGGTTTGGTTTTTTTTGTTTCCTCTCTCAGCCCTCGCTTGGGCCTCTTCATATCTGAGTGCTTTAGTGTGAGAGAGAGAGAGAGAAAGAGGGGGCTCCGCTGTTCATGTCATCTAATGCAATCCAGATGTTTCATGTGCCGCTGGTGCAGCACCAGGGTGTGCTTCTCTAGTGAGAGCCAAAGAATGTGACTGTGCAGAGAATTCTCCCCAGCTCCTCTTCCACTTTCTCATCTTCTTCTCTTTTGTCGTCTTTTCAGGCCATATTTCGAACTAAAAGCCAAGTACTACCTGCAGCTCGAGGTACAGCACACCAACGTTACAAGATCATGTTTCAAAACTTAGTTCACAACATTCACAACACTTGAACGACTAGCTGAAAAAAACAGAATGTCCAGCAGAGGGCAGCATCGCTTCAGAAGAACACTTCCTAACAAACTTTGATGGTTTTGTGCAAGCACGGGCAAACTAAGGCCCGGGGGCCAGATGCGGCCCGTTTAGCTTTTTAATCCAGCCCTCCAAACTTCTCCAAATTATATAATTTATTTAGATTATCATTATACTTGGCATGGTCCACCAGTCAAAAAGCTGCAGCTAAATTGTAATGGCTGTATTCTAAAAATGAATTTCACTTTTCTAACAGCAACTGAAGCATCAAGTTGACAACTACCAGGCCAAACTGGTGCTGGCCAAGGCCGAGTACCGCACAGCCCTTCGCAACCTAGAGAGCATCTCTGAGGAAATCCACGCCCAGCGGCGCTCCCTGGCCATGGGGACTCGGGAGCAGGGCGTCGGTGCCGAGGGAGACGGGGACAACGAGGACATCGCCAACTTCAAAAGGGAATCGGATGGTCTGTCCAGTGAGTACGACCCATTTGCTGCAGTTTGGTTTCGTCTCGCATCTGCGTGATCCATCGTTCGTTCGCGTCTGTCTGTGTGTGTTTCAGTGGTGTCGGTGTCAATTGAAGAAGACAGCAGTCACAGCAGCGCCTCGGAGGAAGACACAGACACTTGCTCTAGCTCCTCGGCCCAGGCCGTGCCTTCCTCACCCTGCCCTTCCTCCTCTTCCTCCCATCCGTCCACTTCTGCCTCCTGCACTTCCTCCTTCCTAAAAAACACCGACTCCATCGTCTCCACACCTCCCCTGTCGCCTGTCCTCTCCCCCTCCTGCTCCGGGGGTCTGGATTTTGGAACTCCAGATTCGGAGTGTTTTTCTGGAGACGGCTCACCTCTGCTGGGTCCTCGGAGCCAGTGCAGCGGAGCGTCATCTCCAGACTGCGACCGGGAGAGAGGTGTGTGTGTGTGCGTCACAACAGTGAACGACGATTGTTTTATAAAGTATCTATGGAGCTGCAGTGACCAACATTCTTGTGGCAAAATGAAATCCACTGCCCTCCGGTGTATCGTGCCGGTACTGCAACTGGAATGAGGAGAGATTCAGAATCAGTTTCTGTAATTGTACTGTCCATCACTGGTGGCTAACAGCTTCCTGTTTGTTTCAGGTAACAGAGCAGAGGGAGCAGAGGCCGCGCTAGAAGATGGCGTGAACAAGCTAACAGTGACTGTGTCAGAGGAACAAAAAGAAAAGGAGGACGATCCAGAGGCGCACGACGCCGACTCTGAAATCACCCCTCCCAGTGAAGCCACTACCATTCTGTTACTAAACAGTGTTTGATGAACTTCAGTACGGACTAAAAAAAAAAAAAAAGCTGAACTGTACACACCCACATTTAAACTGCATCCATCAGACAGTGTTACTCCACATTAAAGGCGTTTCTATATCATATCGTTGACGCAGGAAATAAGTGGACGTATGCTAAAGAATTTAGAGTCGTGACAGTACAGGTGGTTTCTAGTTCGCGCCAGTATTAGCACAGCTAACTGTATTCTCTTAGAGACCTCCGCTTAATCAGGCGGACTTCCTGTGTCGTGGTGCAGCTCGACAGTGGTGTGGTTGCGTTTATTTGAAATGCCGCACTTTGTATTAAGTAGTCTACTAAATGAGATTCTTTTTCAATGTAGTCACTGCAGTTCTTTTACTATGAAGTTATCAAGAGAAGCCAAAAATGATGATCGCGTTTAAGTCCCGTCAGGTTTTAGGTCAAAGATTTAAACGTTTGAGATTTTTGTGAAGGATCTCATTGGAGTACATGCAGTACTCCGAGCACTGCAGCGACTTCAGATCGGACTTAAGCGTTTGTCTTCCATTGGGCTCGTCCCTCAGTGTTGTGAGTGAGAGAGTAAAGTATGCTCAACCTTATGAGTTGGCGTGTGTGTGTGTGAATGTGTTTTTGTTGCATCTGTTGCTCAAATGCCATGTAGTAAAAAACCAAACTATATTTATACTCATTGTACTTTATAAACAGTGTTCATGTGGTTTCTGTCAATGTTAACACAAAATCAGCAATAAACTTTGTCTTTGTTTAATTTGTAATCAACAGAATTTGGGGAATTGGGAGTAAAGTCAGGTGAGAAAAGCATTATTAGAGTTAGAGCAGAAAGAAATCCAGCTCATTACACAAACTAAAGCAAAACATAATTCCAGGTTCAAGCATGTGGTTTAACTAGTCAGTAACTAACAGTGACAAAAGACCAAATCTTAGACACTCATTACATCCAGGCTTAGTCACAAACCCCAATTCTGTCACATTAGAAGGAACTTTATCCAATTCCACACTGCTCAAGTAGCGTTACAGACAATATTTGTACAATGAACAGAAAAAGGCCGAGTGCTTCGATCACAACTTGCAGTTAAGGCTAAACCACTTGACTGAACTGTAAATGGGTCAGGTAGTCCTACATGTATATACATATTTATATACACATATATACAGATATATACATATAAACATACTGTATATGTACATATATACATATACAAGTACATATATACATGCATATATATACACACACACCTTCCAGTGATTTTAAATTGAACGACATGCAAAGGACATGTAGCGTGTACAAGGATGTGATAACTTTTCGAGAGAAGCAAAGAAAAAAAAAACCATCTATAAATATTTTATCTGGCCATATTTTTTCCTGCAATAGTATCTAAAATAAAACTTCCATGGCATTTTTATTGTCTTCAGGACAAATGTATAGTCAAAGGGTTCAATCAGTTTCACCAGCAGATGGCAGTGCAAATATGGCTTTTGAACAGATCGACAAACATTGCAGCTATTCAGCCCATCATGTGGGAGCAGAGTATTTAAAACGATTTTATCTACATATAAATACTCCTGTACCAATTATCATTTCAGACACTGAAAAAAAAAAAAAATGTTTTTTTAAAAATCACTGATTGTTTACCAACTGTGCTTATCCTCAACTTTGAGAATAAAGTTAAATTATACAAACAAGTGTGGAAACCTGTCAGAACAGCTCGTTCTAAAACCACTCAGCCTTCAGTTTGCTTACAGTACTCTGTTTTTATCTACTAGATTTTAAAAACAGTGACAGCCTTGGGTCAAAGTCAAATTCTGAGCTGAAATCTCCTCCAAATGATAAGACCTTTGTAATTCATCAATCAAAACACCAAAAAGCTCATTCTTGTTGTTGGAGACCTGCCATGGTTTCAGTCTACTGACTTAAGTGCAATGCATTAGTAACATAAAAAAACCAAGGGAAGTTGAGTCCGATTTAAATAAATAATTTATTTTACACTGCGTCACATTCAGATCATTCTGCTGCATCTGGAACAGAGAAGAAAACAAAAAAAACAAAACAAAAGTCATCTAAATCTTATTCCAAAACAAAAACAAAAACCAAAAAGCTCATACACACCTTTCTAGCCAACTCTGACTTTCACCCATCTGCTCCTCTTAGGAACGCCTCGACCCTGTGGGTTGTACGGTGCGGTCTGCTGTGAAGGCTCCGTCTGCTTCTGCTGTGGTTTCTGGACACCAGCTACCTTCGGCTCGGCTGTTTTTTTCAGACGCCTGATAGGAGAGCCACCAAAGCTCTGAGGGATGCTGAGGATTTTTGTCGGCACTCGTCCCGTCAAAGAGCTTCCCCCACTCTGCCGTGGCCTGTTGTTCCACTGGTTCTGGTTCTGTGGAGCAGCTGCATGACTGGGTCGCTGGTAGAAACTCTGGGTCGTTGGTTCTTGGAAACTTCTAGGCCCAAACGCAGGCGTCTGGGGATAGGCTGCACCTGGAGTGCGTTTGTAGCTTCCTTTGGCAGCTCCTTCGACCACAGGAAAGAAGCTGCTCCTGTACCTCTGGCTGGGCTCATTCCTGGATCTGCCATTCTGTGCAGGGGAGAAGCGGGAGGGTTTGGACGCAGAGGTGCCGGGCGAGGACACTCGGCGTGCTCGGACCGTGGCGGAGGTCCCCCTGAAGAACTTGGACGACGGTGCAGATGGGACCTGGCTGCCGCGCACGCGGGTGGGCAGAGTCCTGGTGGCGGCAGTAGTGGGAGGCCTCAGTGCAGCAGACTGGTGGGAGGCCGACACTTCCCTGGAAGGACTTCGAACAGATGCAGCGCTGCTGGACGGATACTGACCGCTACGCCGAGTACCCTGCTGCTGATTCCTGGGCCTGACGTGAACGAAACTGTCCTGGTTTGAATTGTACTTGGCCACTGAACTTGCACTAGCGACGCCAGTGGAGAGGCCTGGAAACGGTTTCTTGTGCACCTTTGGGCTCAACTTAACCTCAGTTGGGGCAGCAGTTGCCCCGTTGTGTTTAAACAGCGTGCTGCTCTGGAGGTATCTGACTGAATGACCACCACGCGGTGGCTGTGACACAGTTTGCATTTGGTTGGTCTTAGAATATCCTTGATCGTAAGCGCTGCCGAGAACAGGCGTCGGGTTGAAGCTACTGCTCTGGGCCGAGCGCGGAGAAATGGAGGCCTGTCTGAATTTATTCTGGGGATCGTTGTCATGAAGTCTAGAAAGCCCACGGTTCATTTGTGACGAGCCAGCATATGTGTTGCCGTATTGTCTCGGGGAGCTCTGACCTGCAGGTCAAAAAAAAAAAAAAAGAAAAAAAAAAAAAATTTAAAAAAAATCATATTAACAACTAGCTAATTCATTCAATCATATTTTCAAATAACGCTTCACTCACTTTCTGTCGCCCACGAACAGCGTACATGCTCTGCTTGAATTAAACAAATCAGCAAAAACCTGCAACGACACAGAACTCGGTTCAAAGGAGGGCAGCGACACACCCTGTCATTTAAAGGAACTTATAGGAACTTACCCCAAATGAATTCCACGAGCCATGCCTAGTGTGAGCTAAAGGTCCGACCAACAGTAGCCTTCCTGCCCTGCAGCTACTGCTGTGCCCACGTGTGTGAGAGCCCAGCTGACAGGCAGCATTTATTGATGGCTGCTGATTGTGATTGTGTGCAGGTGTGTGTCGTTGTGAGGTCACAGGGTTTCTGCTCTGTTTGCTGACACCTTTGCCATGTGTGTGGAGGTCAGGCCCGAGGATGACCGCGTTAGTCCTGACCGCACGTTTGCAAACATTATTAATGACAGCGAGCAAAGTGCACTCACGGGCCTGTAGGTCACCTTACGTAATTGTGAGTGTGTGTTTTATCAGGGGTCAGCGTGTCTTCTGGCCTTTTGTTTTTTGCTTTAAGAGCGGCAGGGGACTGGTTGGCTGTTTGTTTGTTTACTAAAGCATAAAATTATTTGTTTTATTTTTTTATTCTATAAAAATAAGGAATAATATGCATATTATTTTATAATTATGATTTTATGAAATATGTCTAGAGAGACTACCAACCACATACAAAAATCCATTACATCTCCTCCACATTTCTCTCACAGTCCGATGCAGTTCAAAGTGCGGCAGGCTGTTCCGTCTGAATGCACTCAGTTCCTGCCGTTTGATTGGCTGGTTGAGTTCACACATCACTATTGAAATGAAATCTCGCTTAACTTGTCACAATATGTGTGAAGGTATCATGACACGGAGCGGGACTCGTGTCACGTTTGCTACTATTTTCACCTCTGTATCCTGCTGTGCATGACTCATATCACACACACCATATATCACATATACAGCTAATGATAGCTAGGATACAAATAAATAATTTGGTCAGTATGGCAGCACAGCCAACTCTGTTCCACTGTAAATATTATTAAGCTAACATGAACGAGCTAACTGGGTGTAAATACACTGACAGACTTCATGGACAAGCCTGGGCAGCGTCATCAAATCCCCCCCCC